AGATGGAGTCTCACTCTGTCAACCAGACTGGAGTGCAGTGGTACCATCTCAACTCACTGCAACCTCCGCCTCCCAGGTTCAAGAGATTCTCCTGCCTCAGTCTCCTGAGTAGCTGGGACTACAGGCATGCACCACCACACCCAGCTAATTTTTGTATTTTTAATAGAGACGGGGTTTCACCACATTGGCCAGGGTGGTCTTGATCTCTTGACCTCGTGATCTGCCCGCTTCAGCCTCCCTAAGTGCTGGGATTACAGGCTTGAGCCACCACACCCAGCCTGGAATTTCTTTTATTTAAAGATGCTGAATTTTGGCCCCCAATCTCTTCTGGCTTATAGTGTTTCTGCTGAAAGGTCCACTGTTAGTCTGATGGGCCTCCCTTTGTGGGTGACCTGACCTTTCTCTCTAGCTGTCTTTAACATTTTTTTCTTTCATTTCAACTTTGAAGAATCTGATGACTATTTGTCTTGGGGATGATCTTGTAAAGTATCTTACTGGGGTTCTCAGTATTTCCTGAATTTGAATGTTGGCCTCTCTAGCTAGGTTGGGAAACTTCTCATGGATGATATCCTGAAATATATTTCCCACATTAGTTCCATTCTTCCCATCTCTTTGAGGGACACCAATGAGTAGTAGATTCTGTCTCTACATAATCTCATATTTCTCGAAGGTTAGGCTTATTTCTTTTCATTTTTTTTTCTCTATTCTTGTCTGATCATCTTATTTCAGAAAGCCAGTCTTCAACCTCTGAGGTTCTTTCCTCAGCTTGGTCTACTCTGCTATTAATACTTGTTATTGCATTATGAAAATCTTATAGTGTGCTTTTCAGCTCGATCAGGTCAGTTATGTACTTTTCTATACTGGCTATTTTGTCTGTCAGTCAAATCTTGCCTAAGGCCTGCTGCAACCACTCCCTGGCTACTGCCTATATTCACTCACGGCCCTGGGGCTCTACAATCAGCAGCTAGCAAAGCCAGCCAGTCCTCTGTCCTTTGTTCAAGATAGCAAGGTCTCCCATATGGCAGGGGTGTCCGGAAGTACAATCTGGGATTCAGGCACTATAGTCAAAAATCTTAGATCTCTACCTGGTATTCTATCATATCGGCAATTCAGGACTGTTCTTCCTATCTCTTCAGTGCCTCTTTCAGGGACACAAAGTTAAAACCAGGTGCTATGAGTGCTCATCTGACTTTTGGTTCTTATGAAAGTTTTTTGTTTGTTTTTGTTTTTGTTTTTTTCCTGTGCAGCTAGTTGTTAACTTGATGTCCTTGCAGCGGACACAACCAGTGGAACTTTCTATTCTACCACTTTTCTCCCAATTTTGCTCCTTTTCTTCCCATGTGTCAAGACCACTCCACAAAGGTTGGATCCTGGCTTGTCTGAACCCATGTGATCCCATGTTTCTTCCAACGTGTGAGGGAGGGAGTAGGAAAAGTTTAATTGCTCCTTATAAAGAGACACAAGAAGAAATAGTCTGTTTCTTACTTTTGGAAGTTGTTGTGAGAGAATACAAAACCTAAAGCTGCTGCAGGTGTCCTCCTACCATCTCAGGAAAGCTGACGTGCTGTAAAGAGATGAGCTATGAAGTTCCAGGATCGCTGGTGATGCTACTGGCCTGCTTCATTGAGCAACCCTGGAGATGCCCTGCCTTAGATCCATCTGCTATGTGAGATAATGAGTTAAAGAAAAAGCTAATTAGATTGGATTTTCTGTTACCAGCAGCAGAAAGCATTTTCATGGAAATGTTCATTCCATACATTTTAATTCCACCTCATAATTTCACACCACAAGTTTCCCATAAAGTGAGATAAATCTTATCTTCATCTCAGGGAATAAAGCAAGAGTAAAGTTGCAACTGTGGGATCAAACAGAACAGACATGACTAGCAGCTTATTCAATTTCTATAGGATAAGCTGCTTTGCACAAGTAACATGTATTTAAAAATAAAATATGCATAAAATAAACTTTGAATTTGGTAGATATTAAAATAATAGCTGTCTCTGGCACATGATAAATTGTGTTCAAATGATTTCTATTTTGAAATAAGCTTCTGAATTATCTACTTTTTGCTCTTCAGACAGAATACGATAACAGATCCTTCCATCTTCTTAACCAGTTCACTTGTCTTCTGGGAAATCTATACAACTCCCTTATAATAGTATATTGTCGAACTCCATGTAATTAGAACTATGTACTGATTTAAAATTATAGATACACAATGTTTTAGGGTAAAGATGTTTGATTTTGAATTTAGAGAGAAATTATGTTAAACCTGGATATCAAATTGGGGAGAATTGACTTTCTTTTTGAGAGAGAGTTTCGCTCTGTCACCCAGGCTGGAGTGCAATGGCACGATCTCAGCTCACTGCAACCTCTGCCTCCCAGGTTCAAGCAATTCTTCTACCTCAGCCTCCTGAGTAGCTGGGATGGCCCACCTCGGCCTCCCAAAGTGCTGGGATTACAGGCATGAGCCACTGTGCCTGGCCACATTTTTTTTTTTTAATATTGACAAGTCAAAATTACACAGTGTATTTGTGGTGTACAGCATAATGTTTTAATGTATGCCTACAATGTAGAATGACTGAATCAAGCTATTTAATAGATCTGTGAACCCACAGAGTTATCATTTATAAGAGAAAACCATTATTGCATTGGGATGTAATCTTGCATTTTTCTTTTTATTCTATTTCTTGTCCTTGTAGTTATTGAAGCAGATAATTTTTCACTCCATGTTTATTCCAGAAAAATTTAATAACATTACATACAAGGTAATTTCAGATTTATGGGAGGCAGTAAGGCTGGGTACCAAGGGGACCACAAAAGAATGAAGATGGGGTATTGCCATCAATACTGGGACTTCCAAGCCAAGGGCAGGGCTGAGAAAGCCACCAGGGAGGACATTTTCTGCAAGGTCATTGAAGCAGGAGCAGACCCGGTCCTGAGAAAGCTTTCCTTTCGTGGAAGAACAGGAGGCCAGGCACGCAATCTTCTCATGCTTCCGAGCTAGGTTTAAAGGTTCTTTCTGAGTATCATCTTCAGTTCAGGGGGCTGCAGAATACAAAAGACAGTGTTGTTTTCAACACTCTTCTACCAAAAAGCTTCTTGTCCCTTCTTTTAGGACCTCATAAGAGAGCAAGAAGAAGAAACAAAAATACTTCTAAGTTTCCTTGAGCCACTGTTACTTTAGAGCACAGACCTTTTACTAAGCGGAGAGAAGAAGCTCTAGTATAAACTACATGAGTAGAACTTTGGATCCAAAGTGTTTCTCATTATTTTTGTCTCATGTCTTGTCATCTCTACCATCTTTCTAGGGAAGCCAAATCTGTCTCTAAAAGAGGATTAAAGGTCATTACCTGTTGGCTGAAGTCCAGAGTGTCCTGGAAAAAGAAAGAAAGATATATACTTAAAAGATATGGAAGGAAGTCTTTCCCCAAAAACAATGTTCCAAGCTCCAGATCTTCCTCCTGAAATCTAACATTACAACCCACACTGTCCAGGGCAGAAAAGAGAGCAGAAACTGAGACGGTGTGACCCATGAAGCTTTCATCTCTCACACACACACACACACACACACAGAAACTGAGACGGTGTGATCCATGAAGCTTTCATATCTCACACACACGCACACACGCGCGCACACACACACACAGAGTATAATTGCATTAGCCTTAGTGTCTCTTCCCTCATTTGCTCCAGAATTTCAAACCAAGATCCCCATGCTCGTTAACCTTTCTCTTATCTCTGCAGGACACAAGCCCTCACGCTGTGACACAGTAACCATGGACTATTGATTTCTAGAGTTCCAAGAAATTTGAGGTCAACTGGGAAAGGAAAGGCTTAATACCAGGCCACTGACACACTGGGAACTAATCTCAGCAAAGACATATTTCTTCCTCCAGAAAAGCCTATGGAGAGAGCCAGCTACCAAAGGCTCCTCACTTTTCTGATTCCTGAAGTAGAGGAACAGCCCGGCCCCAAGGAAGAGCAGGCCCAGCACAAAGCCCCCGACTCCACTCAGCATCTTGCTCTGTGCAGGTTCAGACTGAGGTTTTGAGAGAAGAAGACAGATTTAGTGATTTTTAACCCTAATCTAACTTATCTAATCGAAACTCGGAGATTCAGAGTTTTGACAATGGGAGATGAAAGCTACCCTGGAGGAACCAAAATAACTGGCCAGAATACCTGGAATAACTGGAAAAAAGATTTAAAAATCACATTGAATAGCTAAAATGTTCAGGAATTGAACTCATTCTTGAGTTCAAATATCACAGCCCAACATAAGGCACAGCTTCAACATCTGATCTAGAAAATCCCTGGGACTCAGTGAAGTTGAGTAGCTTGTTTTAGTGTATTTACTAAATGTTTCTTTTCTGGAGCCAGGTTGTCTAGCTCAAATCCAGGCTCTGCCTCTTACTGATTGGTCCTGAAAGAGACTTTCAATTCTTCCATGCCTCAACTTTCTCACCTATAATGGAAGTTAATAATACTAATTTCCGAACTGGGGTTCTGTGAGGATTAATGTACCTAAAATACATAAATAAGAGGCAGAGCTGAGACTGGACTCTCTTCATGTCAGGAAGGCCCTATGTTGCTCCTCTTCTCAGATGGCAACAAACAACTCAGAGCAACAGTGCCAGAAGCACAGTCCCAGCCCCAGAGGCAAAGTCTGGTGCCCAGGGCTAAGGCATGACCAGGATCTGTGACTTGAGGAGGTTCAAAACAGGAACAGCCTCTTTTCTATCTTCTAGGCATGGCTGCTTCTCCAGGGGGCACAGGTGTTCCTAGAAACTCTCCTAGGACTATCCCCAGTGACCTGTGTTGAAGATAGAAGAACATGGAGCAATTGAAAATATGATGTGAGAGAGGAGAAACCTGATAGTCAAGGATAATCAATGTCCCCTTCCTGGTGGGTGAGAAATTTATGAGGTCTAGAAGCTTCTCACTCCATTCCACTGTGGGAGGACTCGTCACGCTTGGGTGCTCCACTTGGCAGGTGTAAACTTCTCCACTCTGAAGAACTGTTTCCAGCATCACCAGGGTCTGGAAGGTCTAGTCTCCACTGTGGATCAGGCCTGTGGAGACCACCGCAGCCTTCTCTTCCTGGCCGTTCCGGAACCACCTGACTTTAATGCTGTCTGGATAGAAACCACTCACAGAGCAGACCAGGAGGTTGCGGTGCTGCAGGGACTGGGTCTCTGCAGGATACACAGTCACCTCAGGATGGACTAAGAAAAAACACAAAGAATATGTATGGAAGATAGAGTAAGTCTTCTTGGTTGCCTTTCTCACTGCCTCTCTCCAAACCCAGGCTCAGGTCTCAGCCAGGCCTCCACCAAAGCAGGCCATGTGGTCTCACAGTGTCGAGAGCCTGGAATTTAATCTTTACAGGGCAGACCCATTAGATTTGAGTAATGGTGAAGAAAATTGTGTTTGCTTTTTTCATAGTTTGAAACTGTTATTAATTATCAAAGCGTTCAGAAATCCTTGAAAGCATATAGTGTGTTTACTAAATGTTTCATTTCTGGAGCCAGGCTGTCTAGCTCAAATCCAGGCTCTGCCTCTTACAGATTGGTCCTGAAAGAGATTTTCAATTCCTCCATGCCTCAGCTTTCTCACCTATCATGAAAGTTAATAATAGTAATCTCCCTATTGGGGTTATGTGAGGATTCACGTAAAAATACATAAGACAACGACTGAAAGTAGCCCTCAAGTTTTGTTAGCTATTTTTTATCCTGTTTACCCTGAGAGAATAATATGATTCAGAGTGGTATGGATGGACTGGGGGACAACTGTAGGGTAGATGGGGAGATGGAGTATGAAATTTTAACTGTGCTGGCTCCATGCACTCACACCTTAGAACAATGCAGAAATGGTTCAGCCACTGGGAAGGAGGAACAGACAGAAGTGATTCTCTACCTCTATGGGTGAAGTCCCTAGAAAAATATGAGTCCTACAGGAGAGAGAAAGGAGTAAGAAAAGTTCTCATATTTACATTCAGCCAATCAATCTATCTCCTCTGTAAAACAAGAGTAATAATGTTAGAACTATAATTTTCTAACTGCCTCTCTTTCTAGACTGACATTTGAGGTCAGGGAAGGGTCTGAGACAGTGTGTTGAATGCCTAGACAATTCCTGACACTAGCATCCCCTCAGTAAATACAATTATTTTAAAAGAAAAAAAGAGAAACCTGAGACAACTTTTAAAATTCTTTTTAGAGATGGAGTTTTGCACTTGTCGCCCAGGCTGGAGTGCGGTGGCGTGATCTCGGCTCACTGCAACCTCCGCCTCCTGAGTTCAAGCGATTCTCCTGCCTCAGCCTCCCGAGTAGCTGGGTCTACAGACTCCCACCACCACGCCTGGCTAATTTTTATATTTTTAGTAGAGACAGAGTTTCACCATGTTGGCCAGGCTGGTCTCGAACTCTTGAGCTCAGGTGATCCATTCACCTTGGCCTCCCAAAGTGTTGGGATTACAGGTGTGAGCCACTGTGCCTAGCCCTGAGACAACATTTTTATAATACTACAAAAAGATAGATGTAAGATGGGTTGTAAATCATTACCAAAAATTTTGCAATATATTTCATTAAATAAAAATGGTCAAGTTCTTAACGTGGAGAATAATTTTGAAAATAAAAAATATAAACTACAATCTGGAGAAAATGCTGAATCAGGCCGGGCTCAGTGGCTCACGCCTGTAATTCCAGCACTTTGGGAGGCCGAGGTGAGCAGATCACGAGGTCAGGAGATCGAGACCATCCTGGCTAACATGGTGAAACCCTGTCTCTACTAAAAATGCAAAAAATTAGCT